AAAATCTGATTAAACTGCAAACTTAAAGAATCAATAATAAAATCAAGAGCTAAAAAAATTGTATAAATATTTATAAAAGGCCTAAATCCAAAAAAGCTAACAATCAGCCAAATATCATATATTAACAATATGTGCAACATACTCAAGTTGATCTAATCTTATAAGCAACAAATTATCAAAAAAATATGATAATTAATATACATACACTAATAATTGGTCTGGCAAAAAAAAAAATAGAAATTATATAATCTGTAAGAAATAGCATGATATATTACAGAAACTTAAATAATTTTAACTTATTATAAAACTAATTACTACTTAAGCAAATTACCAGTTTGCATAATTAACTTAATACAGCAAATCCAGAAGAAGTAGTAACTAATATAAGAATAGAAGATGGTTTTTATTTAATAGAAGCATCTAAAAACATATAACAAAAAAATATTTCTAAAGCAAATGCAAAGTTGTGAAAAAATAATTTAGCATATTTAACAATACTAAAAGCAAAAGAACTTTAATTAGTTTTGAACTTTAACTATAAAAGCCTAATTTTAAATAGCAAAAGCATAAAAATATATATAATTTTAGAAAAAATTTTATACCAATAGTTGTATATAGACTAAAAAAGTTAGATATTATGTTTGTGCATCAGTTAATTGACAAAGAAAGAAACAAAATAATTATATGATAGCAATTAAGTTTTATAAAAAGAGATAATATTAAAAGTAGACTAGCAAAGTGGTTTAAAATTCTAGAAACAAAGATAATAAAAAAGCCAAGTTGCAAGATAGTGAAGTCAGAATTTAGAATTGCAGCTCTAAACAAAAAAAAAATTAAAGCACAAATAGAAGAACTATCAGATAATGCAAGATGAAAAGATTGAGTAATTATAAACAATACATTATTCTATAAGGAAGAAAAAGTATTAGTAGGAAGAATAGTAGCCTAAATGTTAAAACAGTACAAGTCAAATACTAAAAAGCAAATTACTAATCAAAAAAACAAAAATCAATACTAGAAAAATATAAAGGCTGCAAGTACAAAATAATAATGCTAATGATAGTTGTGAGAAAAAATACAAATAACAGAAAATCTATAAAATAATTATAAGGTATACAAATAAAAAAGATGTATAGCAACTAGAAATTAACACAAATATATTAGATCTTATTGTGTAAAAAAAAGATTACAAGATCTCAAACTCTGAAAGACATCTAAAAGAGATTTGTATAGAAAACAAAGATATTAAAATAATTAAGAAATAAAAATTTAGTAATAGGATTACAGAGTTATTAGTAGAAAAACATAAGCATATTAAAGAAAACAATGTTAAGCAAGAGAAGCTAATCTTTTACACAAACAGATCATTAGTAAAAGCAAAAAAGAAAATTAAAATTCAGACTACATAGAAGCTGGTTAGGTGCAAGTGAACAATAAAGAAAAATTTGTAATAGATGAAAGTGTTATTAATGTTAGAAAATAGTCTTTTTTAACAAAAACATAACTATTATCTATTTGGTATATAGTTCTTATAGTACTAAACAAAAGCAAGTTTAAAATATATACAGATAATATAACAGCTATAGCAAATATATATAATAATACACAATATATAATTATAAAAAAAAGAATAAAAAAAAATATAACTTAGTTATAAATATAGAAGATACAATATGAACAAAAGAATTAGATTTAGAGTTAATAAAGATAAAGAGACATAGTAATAATAAGTAGAATAATAGAACAGATAGTGTAACAAAAAAAGAAGCAAATATATAAGATAAGAATAAAATTATAAAAGAACCTGTCTCAAGATTTAATGTAACACTTTTTTGAGAAAACAAGGTAGTGAAAAACCTATACAAAACTTTGTTAAAGAAGTCCTTAATATCAAAAATAATGCAGATTGAAGTTGTGCATTAATAGTTAAAAAACTAGAACCAGAAAGAAAAAAAATGAGCATTGCTAGGTACTATTATAGAAAAAAAATCAAAAATCAGAATTAAACAAAATATATCTTAATTACAAGAAATAAAAAATTTAGTATATTCTTTAAATGCATACAAGAAAAAATTTCTATATTTAAGAAATTAGTGATAAAACAACCAGACCTATATGCAGATACAAATTGTATAATTTGCAAAGAAAAAAAAAAAGAAGATTAGAACTATTTAGCAACATATTCTTTTTATAAAAACTACTAGGTGAAGACAGAAACATTGGCAATAATAATAACATAGAGTATACTTTTAGAAGAGAAAAAAAAGAGTATTACTCAAATACAGCTAAAGAAAGCAATCTGAGACCAAACAAAAGAAGAAAGAGCAGAAGTAAGAAAAAAACTTATTAAAGATCTTTTACAAAAGAAAATAGTGAAAAGGGTATAAAATATTCTAATCTTAGTACAAAAAATAAGAAATTTTTTAATAAATATAGTAGATATCACATGGAATAAATTTTATAAAAAAATTTGGAAAGAAAGATGCAGTAAAGTATCTGAATAGAAAAAAAATCAAGAGATCAATACAAAAAAGAAAAAAAACAAAAATAAAGTAGTAGAACAACAAAGCAAAATATCACATAAATGTTTACTAAGATCAAGAGACAAAAATTTAAGAAAAATAAAAAATATAAAGAAGAGAAAGGAAACAGAAAATAAAATATAGAAAATGTATAAAGAAATACAATTAGAAAATTAATTAGTAATAACAAGAGGCCTTACTGAAATAGCCTTAAAGGCTAGTCTGAATAGCCCTCTAGTAATAAGTATAAACTCATTCTAGTATAGCAGGTTGCTTTTAAGCACTAATACAGTAGCTGAAAAATATCAAACCTAAAAATTAAGCTAATATTTGTATAATTATATATGCAATTCTCTTAATAAAGAATTTTGACAAGATTACCAAAGAATATAAAAAAAAAAAATTTAAAAAATAATTGTTGTGATAGTTTAAAAAAAAACTAAAATAATTAAATCTTTTTATATATACTATATACAGTATTTTTTAAAAAAATATAAAAAACATTAATTAAAGATCTAATTTCAAAAAAAATACAAACCAGATTATTGCAACTTCAAGTATTAAGACAAGACAACAGTTTACAAATAAAATAATAAAAACAGTTTAGAATACTTTCTATAAATAAGTTTTAAGAATATAATACAAAAAAATTAATAAGTAAGAGAAAAAAAAAATAATAACAAGTAAAATAAATAAAAAAAAACTTTGAAAAAAAAATTTTAATAAGATAAAAAAAAAAGAAATGAGCAAAAGAAAAAAAAAATTAAAAAAAAGTTAGAAAGACAATGTTAAGACCTATTATAAAAAACAAAAAAACTTTTTATTACAGACTTTAAATAGTTAGACAAGCAATCTACTTTTGTTTAAAATAATACAACAGGTTGTATTTAGACACCAATAAGGTAATTAAGTGATACTATACATGAAAACAAAATTATTTTAAGAAAATAAAAATCCAAAATTAAATTTGAAAATAAAATTATTTTGACCTATCTTTACTTAAAAGATGAAATTTTTTAATGTTTTTTTAAATAAATGAATTATAAAAAATATAAATACATAAATTAGATTTGCTTTTTCTTATAAAAATTTTAATTTGCTCTAATGAAAATGAATTAAGTTTTTTTAAAAATCTATTTTTGTAACATGTATAAGTGATACTAGACTTAGTTGTTAAGTATATCTATATAATTGCAAAAGTAGTTTCAAAAATCTTAATAAAATACTAGCATAACTGCTTAAGGAGAAAAAAAAAAGATTTGTTTCTTTTTATTAACTTCTCTTTGTATATAGAAAACTGAAACTATTTTTTATAACCTTTCAGAATAATTTGAAATAGCTTCTGAATCCAAGTTATACCCCAACCAATATGGAAGGCCATCTTTGGGCACTCACGGAAGTAACCATAAGATGTCGGACCAAAGCCTAAATCAAACTTTGCATAAAAGTTTGTACATAAAATTCTTGCTAAAGTTAAAAAAAAATAAAAATTTAGGTTGGGAAAAAATTTTCAAATACCAAAATTGCAAAAAATCCTTTTGTTAATGCGCAGGTGGTTTCATAGGTAAATAAATGTTGAGTTATGAACGATTTTTTTGAATCTGATTAGCCAGCAAAATTTTTTAGGTTGGTAACGCTAGGATAGTTAAATTTGACCCGGCCGGTTATGAGAACCAATTTATAAATATATTTGTTAAAAATCAAAAATTAATTATTTCGGAATAAGTATGATATTTAATAAAGACACATTTTGTTTACGAACCATTATAAATTGTAAAATAATTCTGGTCAATAATTTAATAACCGACATTTAATTTTGGCTCACATCAAGAATTAAAGTTTACATAAAACGCATAACCAACTCCGAGCCTGTTAACCCTGTTATAGATGCATGCACATACAATAGTATTTTTTTCAAAGTAGTTTAAAATAGACGCATTGTGAAGAGTCGGTATCAACACCTTTTTTGTGCACGCAATATTTCGTATATCAGCGCAGTAGTATCAAAGAAACAAAGAATATGCTAGTCATTGACAATATAAATTTAGCCAATAAAAGTTACAGGATCAACATGCTGCCCAAAATTTATAAATATGTCGGATGTTTGAGCGTTTTTTGCCGATTCAAAATTTGTTTTTTTTCTTAAAAGTCTTAAGAGACTTGAAATAAAATAATAACCTCTAGAGAACGATAAAATAATCTCTAGAGAACGATATAATAATAACCTTTAGAGAACGAACACTCCAAAAAGTTTTCGTATACTCAACACTTTCCCTAATTTTTTAACCCTTGAGGTCAAGGTAAAGTATATTGAACTGATTAGATGTGGTATTTAATTGCTAGATTATTGTAATAGATATTAAAGTTGTCAATAGTGAATTTAATTTAATAAAAAATGTTTTATATAAAAAAAAAGCACTATTTTTCGATATTCAGTAATCATGAAAATTTATTACTCGTGTTTGTAATTTGGAATAGATGTCATCAAATATTCCTTTCCCACGTCTTCAACCCGCAGTAGAACAGGGACCAAAACAGATTTTACCAGATTTGAATATAAGATTAATCTGTCCAGATTGCAAAAATCCTGTACCAAACATCATCGAGGAATTTGCAAGTGGTGACCTTGTTTGTGGTGATTGCGGCCTTGTTCTCGGGGACCGAATTATCGATACTAGGTCCGAATGGAGAACTTTTGCTAACGATGAAGGAGATGATCCCTCACGTGTTGGTGCCGCTGCTGATCCACTTCTCGATGGTTCGCAATTAGACACGATAATTTCTAGAAGGGATGGCGGATCTGGAACCGCTAGAGATCTTAACAAAGTTCATGGTCGCGCAAATGCAGTTAAGGGTGAAAAAAATCTTGTCCAAGCCTACAAAGAGATCGCTGCAATGGCTGATGCAATAGGTTTAACTCGATTGATTGCTGACATTGCTAAACAATTGTATAAAAGAGTCGAAGAAGAGAAACTTCTACGTGGTAAAAGTACGGAATCGATTATTGCTGCTTGTATATTTATCGCTTGTAGGCAAGAAAATGTACCACGCACTTTTAAGGAAATCTGTGCCATTACTCGAGTCCCTAAAAAAGAAATTGGACGTTGCTTCAAGACTCTGATCCGTACCTTTGAAACCAATGTAACTACAATGACATCGGAAGATTTGATGTCACGTTTCTGTTCGAGGTTGCACCTCCGTATGGAAACACAAAAAGCCGCGCTTGATCTTACAATAACAACGAAATCGCTTGGTACCCTGGAAGGAAAATCACCGGTATCTGTAGCTGCGGCTTGTATTTATATGGCATCTTGTTTGTATAATCAGCCTCAATCAACAAAAGATGTTTCTCAAGTAACGGGTGTTTCCGAAGTAACCATCAAGAATTCATATAAACTCCTTTATGCGGAGCGTGAAAAGTTACTTGGTGATAAAAAATATGGTGGTGGAATAGATAATTTACCATCACCGTGAATAGGGTTAGACCAACCTTTTTTTTTGAATTATGACATTACTATATAATTTGGGTTTGGAAATCAGGATTTCTACTTAATTTTAGATAATAGTCAAATCTAATATATGCCCATTTTCAGTCAATAGTGGAAAACTCAAATTTGTTAGATCAGTCCTATAAATTAGTGAAACTTCGTTATTTTTATTCCAGATCTGGAATTTAAGAGGGATTTAGCGACTTTATAGTTGATTTCATAGACAAAAAAAAAAAACAAAAAAAAAAAAAAAAACACTTTATATAGCGGACATTTTCTTTTTCCCTTATTCCTCAATGAAACAATTTCGTTTAGTCATTATGGTAGATTAGACGTTCATATTCTATCCACGAGATTATTTTTGTATTTTCTCCCTAAAAAAAAAAAAAAATTCTTTAGCATTATCTTTTAAATATCTTGATCTTATTATCACAGTAGTATAAATATTTGCGAAAAACTCGAGATCATAAATTTAGAGGTTCTCAAATAAAATATCTGGCATTAGCGTTCTTAACCTTTGCTAATGGCTTCTAATAGTTTTATGACTATTTCAATATTCATATACATATATTTCATTATCGTTATATCGGTATTAGCTCGGAAAGACTTTCCGAACATGTGATGTGTCACGCTGAAATTCGGATAATGCTTATTATATGGCTATAATTAATTACCCAGATAATCAGGTTAATTTAATAATACCCAAGTAGAAATTTTCTTGATAGGTACAATATCTGAGATCGACCAAATTTAGGATCGGAATAGGCAAGCAGGCTTTGATATATAACAGAAAACAATCCTTGTGCCTGCCCATGCGTTGGGAATTTTTAGTTGCTCTAGTGTCGTTACTTAGCAGCCAACCAAATTTTTAGATCAGGTGTATCAAAACTTTCAATGTGTTGATTCGCAAATTTTTTTGCATTAATGAAGTTCTTTCTAACCTAATATAATAGCGAATCCTGTTCTTAATTTAACAGCAAAATTCTTTTAGTGAAATCTTTGGGTCGATGACACTAGAGTTCTAGTAAAGTTTAAATTGGCTGACTTGAATTAATACTAAATTCTGAATAGAAATTTTTAACAATAAAAGGAGTGTATTATGAACATGTACAAAAAATTGCTTAAATAAATGCCGTAGCTGATGCTGAAAACGGCTGAAGCTGAATTTTTGAGGTTTGATTTAAAATATAAGCCCCGTTAAAATCCATATGGGGGAGTTAATAAAAAAGGAACAACTTATTTTTAATAAAATTTTTTGAATTTTTATATTAAAATAATTCAGCAATTATCTAATCAAATTTGTTAAAAATTTTTTTATTTTAATTTTGAAATTATATAGAATTAAAATAAAAACAAATTATTAAATTTAATAAAATAGTTGTTGAGATATTTAAGCTTAAAGTCAAGAAAACTTTTACTTAGAAAAAAATTGTCTTTTTTTTATTGACTCATCTTTATATATACTCTTATTTATCAGTTTTAACCTTAAACATTACTTAACTGTAAAAAAAGCAAAAAAAAAAACATTTCAAAAAAATTTAAAAAATTTATATAAAAATCAGATTAGAATTTTGGCATCAGTTATAACAATAAATTATTAAGATGATTCTCCTATATAGTAAAAAAGTTAATTAAATAATTTGAGTTTATTATAATTTGAATTATAATAAAATTAATGAATTGAATAAACTAGAGGTTTTATAATTAAAGAATGAAAATCCAATTTTGATAAAAATAGATAGCATTTTTATTTTTATTATTTTTAAAATCTTAAGTAGTTATGTTAGTATTTTATTAAAATTCTTAAAACTAAATATATATAATTATATAAAACTTCCTAATACTTAAATCTAGTATTACTTAATTATTTTAATAATACCTAAATACTACTTGTTATAATACCAAATTTGAAAATTCTTCTTGTGTTATGATTAACTGTCTCTTGCAATTGGTTGGGATAAGACATCTGTTACCTGTATCACACTAGCATGACTGGCAGGTCACATAGCATTTGTGTAATAGTTATATGACATTGTCCTTTGGGACAAGGTCTGTGGTTATATAAAAGAATGCAAACTGGTACTGGGCAGTGCAAACCTACAATAAGTTCTCATAGGCATGTAAATTATAAGAACCAAAAGATGAAAGATGAAAGTCTACTTAGAAGACCCAAGTAAAGAAGTAACCCAAGCTTTCAATGGTACTATTGTAAAGACTAGACTTATAAAATGGAGCTAGAATTTGTAAAACTGAACAAATGTGCTGGTCTTTGAAAAGAGACTGGATAAACCAACCAGGCTGTTGGAATTTCTAGATTTTGGAAAAAAAGAGTACATGTTGGCAAACATGTAAACCAGAGATATAATCTTGTCCTATCTTTTTAGACTATTTGGAATAGTAATTTAATGAAACTTAAATTAAATACCAAACTAGTAAGAATATGTTGTGAAGTTAGTATCAGGGTTGGGGTGAACTCTACAAAGACATAGTAGTTTAATGATATGTTCTGACTACCAGTATTGGTCTTGACCATAGTAATACTAGGTTAGCTATAAGAATAGGATATAGAAGATTCTAAAAGGTTTAGTACAAGGTTAAAGATTCTAAAGAACTGCTTTAAAGACTTAGTGATCATGATATATTTTCACTAGCAATGGTCAGAGTTATTAGTAAACAGAAGTAAATATATAGATATGGAAACTAGAGTAGTTAAATAGGGAACCTACAAGCAGGTTTCAGGTATAATAGCTAGTGTAGAACCTTTGGGCAGACTACTTAAATTAGACAATAACTAAAGTTGTACAAGTGGCTAGTTGTATACTCTTTCTATAGTTGCCCTCTGTAGTTGTAATGCAACTATTAGCCAAATATATTATCAATAAAATCCTAGGTTGCAAGTACTTACCTTAATATTTAAAAAAAAAAACTTGTTATAATATCTTAGTTAGAGATAAACTGTTTATCTAATTGCTTAAAGTTATATTAAAAGAGTCTTTTTTTTTGTAATAAATATATCAATTATTTTTTAAGTTTTTTTTTTATTTAGTTTATTTTTTTTTATTTTTTTATTTTTTTAAATCTTAAACATTTACACTAGTACTTTATTAAGATTCTTAAAATTATATATCTATACAATTATATAGAATTTCCCAATATCTAAGTCTAGCATCACTTGGCCACCCTAATGGTACCTAAGTGCAACCTGCTACACTATTTTAGTTAGAGATAGACTGCTTGTCTAATTACTTAAAGCTATATCAAAAAGGTCTTCTTCCTTCTGTGACAAACATATTTATTGTTTTTAAGATTTCTTTTATCATTTGTTTTTCTTTTTCTACTTTCCTTTTTTTTTCTTCTTTTTTTGCTTGTCTATCTTTCTTTATTTTCTTTTTTGTTTTCTCTCTTCATGAGTATCTTTTTTTATTTTGTTTATTATATTGATCTTCTTCTCTTAAACTTGTATTTTTTTATATTGTACTCTTCATACTTGGTCATAGAAAGTGTTTTATACTGTTCTTGTTACTATATTTATGCATTTCTGTATTGCTTGCTTGCTTAAGAGTCACTTGAGTCTTTTTCTTACTTTTAGCATTATGAGTCTTTTTATCAGTACTTTTCTGTTCGTAATTTCTTTAGCTTCTGTTTTTTCAAATAATGCCTTTATAGGACTTGTAATAGAATTCTGTTTTTTTTATCTTCCTTGAGTCTGTTTTATACTATTGCTGTTGCAACTATTTGAATCTGCTTCCACAGACTTTTTTGTCCTCTATAATCTACTAAATATGTCTAAGTCTCTTTTTTTCTAACTTGGCATACTTGATACTCTGCTGTTATGTACACTTCTGATCTTTTTCTGTTTAACTCTTCAAGTGTTAATAGGCTATCTATTATGTACTTGATTGCTGTAGCTCTTTTTGTGTTAAGTTTTCTTGACATACAATGAACTCTTTTTGTTGTGTTTATTTCTTTCCAAAAACTTGACCAATTATGCAATATATTTTCTGTTTCTGGTTCTAATATTCATATTGGATTTGTCTCTTTCTAACTGGCTTCTATTCTAGTATTTGTTATTATTTTATATAGAAGTCTTGCTAATATGTCAATTTTTCTGTTTTTCTACTCTAAATGGTATTTTATCCTATCACATTTGACTTTATTTACATATATTTTATTTCAGCAGTTTGCTTCTTTCTTTGCAAGAAAGTCTGCTCTATTATTTCACTTATTTTCACTATAACTTTTGACTTTGGTTATTTCTATCTTAATGTTCTTGCTTTTGATTAGATCTATAATATTCATTATCCACATTGCATTTTTCTTTTTTAGAGTTCTTTTCTTTTCTATACTTTGAAGTGCTCTATTAATGTTCCTTAATGCTGTAATGCTGTCTGTAAACACTTTTACACTTTTTCTTTCTAGTACTATTAGGATTGCTGTCCATATTGCTGCTAATTTTGCTATTGTTGCTAAAAGCCAATTTTCAAGTTCCAATACAATATCTTCCTTTGGCCAATCTTTTTCCTCTTCTATTTGTATTTAACTGATACTCATTCTTTCTGTATTGTTTTCTTTTTTCTTCTTGTATAATGCTTTATCAGTATAAAAACTGTATTTTCTCTTGTCTTTCTTCATGTTTCATGTTAATATCTCTACTAACTAATTTGTAATTGTGCTATTTAATTCTTGTTTTTTAATTAGTTCTACTTCTAATCTTTTGTTTGTTTTATTTTTAATAACTTTATTTTATCTCTTTTCTATTCTTCTATTATTTTATCTTCTAATATCTGCTCTAATATTGTATTTATCCTATTGTTAGCTTTCTTTATTAGCACCTTTGATATAACTTTTATGTTGTAGTTTTGTTTTATCCATCTTTTACACTTGTCTGTTATTTGTTCTAAACTGTTTTCACAACCTCTGCATATACTTAGTTCTGTCACTGTTCTCTCTTCTT